ATGACCTCGGACAACGACGACGACGACGACGACGACGGACGACGGACGACGGACGACGACGGACGACGACGACGACGCTGACGACGACGGACGACGAACGACGGACGACGGACGACGGACGGCGACCCTGACAACGACGACGACGACGACGACGACGGACGACTGGCGACGGACGTCGGACGACGACGACGACGACGCCGACGACGACGACGACGACAGACGACGGACGAAGGATGGTGGTCGTCGATGTTGACAACGGTGACGTTGACGAGTACGACGGCGACGACGACGACGACGATGCTGACGACGGCGACGACGACGATGGACGACGGACGACGAACGACGGACGACGACGACGACGACGCCGACGACGACAACGGGTGCCACGACGACGACTATGGGGGCCACGACGTCGACGACGACGGACGACTGGTGTCACGACGATGTCGACGGGGGCCACGACAACGGACGGCGACGCTGACGGCGCCGAGGACGGACGACGGGTGACGGACGACGGGCGACGACGACGACGACGTCGACGACGACGGACGACGGAATACGGTCGACGACGGCGACGACGATCACGACGGCGACGACGACGTCGAAAACGAGGACGACGACGACGACGCGGGCCACGAGTGCTACGACGACGACGCAACGACGGACGGTGAACGACTGACGACGACGACGACGCTGACGACGACGACGACGATGGACGACGGACGACGGACGCTGACGACGACGACGACGTCGACGACGACGACGACGACGGGGGCCTCGACTGCGACGACGACGACTGCGAAGATGACCACGACGACGACGCCTGACGGACGACGGACGACGGACGACGGACGACGACGACGACGACGACGACGACGACGGACTTCGGACGTCGACGACGACGACGACGAGGGCCACGACGACGACAGACGACGACGGAGGCGACGGCTGCGTCGACGACGACGACTGCGACGATGACCACGACGACGACGAGGACGACGACGGCGACGGCGGCGACGACGACGATGATGATGACGCTGACGACGACGACGACGACTACGACGGACGACGGACGACGACGACAACGATGACGACGACGTCGGACGACGGACGACGGGCGACGGACGACGGACGAAGACGATGACGACGGCGGCGGCGGCGACGACGACGACGACGACGACGACGACGGTGACGGCGGCGTCGACGACGATGACGACGACGACCACGACGACGGGCGAAGGACGACGGACGACGACGACGACGACGACGACGACGACGACGACGATGACACGTACGACGCTGACGACGACGTTGAGGACGACGACCACGACGACGACGAGGACGACAACGACACGGTGGCCGTCAGGAGTCAGCACGACGACCACGACGACGACGGACGAGTGCGACGGTCGACGACGACGACGACGACAACGACGACTCTGACGACGACGACGATTTGACGACGACGTCGGGCGACGGACGACGGACGACGACGACGACAACGACGACGAAGACGGACGACAACCGACGACGACGGGCGACGACGACGTACGACGTACGACGACCGACGACGATGGTGACGACGACGACGACGAGGGCGGACGGCGGATGATGACGACGACGATGTCGACCACGATGACGACGACGGCGGCGACGCTGACGACGCTGACGACGACGACGGACGACGACGACAACGACGATGACGACGTCGGACGACGGACGACGGACTACGGACGACGGTCGACGGACGACGACGACGACGGACGACGACGACGATGACGAGCACGGCGACGACGACGACTACGACGACGACGACGACGACGACGACGACGACGACGACGTGGGCCACGACGACGACGACGACAACGAGGACGACGACGACGCAACGACGGACGAAGGACAACGGAAGACGACGACGACGACGCTGACGACAACGACGACGACGACAACGACGACGACGACGACGACGCCTGACGGATGACGACGACGGACGATGGACGACGGATGACGACGACGATGACGTCGACGACGACGACGCTGACGACGACGGCGACGACGACGGGGGCAACGACCGCGACGACGACGACGATGAGCACGAGGACGACGCACGACGGACGACGACGACGATGACGAGCACGGCGACGACGACGACTACGACGACGACGACGACGACGACGACGACGACGACGACGACGACGACGGGGGCCACGACGGACGACGACGCTGACGATGACGACGACGACGACGACGACGACGACGACGACGGGCGACGGACGACGGACGACGGACGACGACGACGAGTCAGACGAGGAACGGCGACGACCCCCGCCGACGACGACGACTACGACGACGACGACGACGACGACGACGACGACGACGACGGACGACGAACGACGACGATGGCGACGACGGCGACGACGACGGAAGACGGTCGACGGACGACGGACGACGACGACGACGACGACGACGACAACGACGACGACGACGACGTTGGCGACGC